AGTGGTGATTAAATACCACCAAAAGAAAGCTCTATCTGTCCCCAAAAAATGGTATAAAATTAATTTCAGTACAGCTTTGCATGACGGAATAAACGTCAGTCAAAGTATCGCAGCGCTGAATACTGAAAAATGGCCTGGCCAGGAAGGGGGTCTAAACACCTGGTCTTGAAGTGGTTAAGAGCGCTACTACTGTTTGGGCACAATCAAACAATCATAAAATGTAACAATACTGTTTCACACTTAGGATGACCAGAATACAAAGTGACTCACTCTTAGGTGTCCTGGGGTGCCTTGGAGATGGTCCGATGGAAACATTGGAAACATATATATACATACGGTACATACATATTAGGGCTGTGGAAATTAACGATTAATTTCTCGATTAATCTTTTTGATCGATTAAACATTTTTTGATCGCTAATGAAAATAGTCACCTCTCCGCCGGCTGCCGGGAGTCCCGTCGGAGATCCGGTAACGTCACGGACATCGATGTCACCGGACTCCTCCCCCCTTCCCCAAGTGGCTCCGTCAGCTAACGAAGGGAAGGGGGGAGGAGTGCGGTGACGTTGATGTTACAAACTCCTCTCCCCTTCCCTTCGTTAGCCGACGAAGTCACTTGGGCCGGTGAGTTTGCCCAAGAAACTTGTTCTGCCCTATCAATTTTTAAATAGGTTATACTTACATGTAAAGGGAACATCACTGTGCAGCCTGCCAATTGACATCGAACCTTTCTTCTAAAATCTTCCCAGCTGGCCAGTGTGCCCACAAGTGTGAACCAAACTCCAAGGCATTGGCCTATACACATACAGCACAGCAATGAAGTAATAAAATGAACTAGGATCACAAGTAAACATTTTTGGGGACAGGTAGAGCTTTCTTTTGGAGGTATATAATCACCACTGGGGGGGTGTTATATATATATTTTTTTACTATATAATGAAAAAAGTACCGTTAATGTAAAAAACAAAACAAAAAAAAAGTTTCCCTACATTATAAAACATTTATTCTTACCCATATTTTTAGTAAAACATAAAATTCGGGGTCACGTCGGGTAAATGGACACCAAACATGTCAAGCCTTAAAATTGCTTGTGCCCGCAAAATCGCAAAAAACACCCATAGGCGACGATTAAACCGCTTTTACTGCTCATCGATTTAGTATCATCAGTGATTAATGGATCTAAAATTATTGCTCTCACTCCGACGTCTGTGGCGATATTTAATATGTGCGGCACAATAGGCGCAATCTTCGTTTTCCACACGTAGGTGCGTGTGTATGTGGGGGGCGGGGACTTTAAAATAATGTTTTCTTTAATTTTTTTGATGCTTCTTACATTTTTTATTACTTTTTTTTTTTTTTTTTTTTTACATATATATCCAGTATACAAATAGTAACAAAAATATGCAAGAGTAATTGTGTGAAATGTGAAAGTGCCCTCAAAATATACTTTTTATGGATCAGTATGATTTTATGAATTATTGTCATTGTAAATAGATCCCAATAAAGAATGTTTGTGAACAAACTTGAGTCTGTAGTGTGTTTATATTACAATATCTGTGTGGAGACATATATAAAGCGTGGATATTGGGATTCATAGTGCAGGATAGCAACAATAAGTAAGGTCATTACCGATACTGGGTGTGGGTGAGCAAGTAAAGCTGGCCATACACCTATAGATTTTCTGCAGATTTTCTGTGGTCAGATGGAAAAAATGCATCAGATTCCACCATCTATGCTAAACTGTGTGGATGGAGGAATCTCCCACCGGGCCAAGTTTCAGTATCTTCCTAGTCTCATAATACCTGAACAATCTGATTGGATGCACTCATTGTTCAGGTGTTTTGAGAGCCAGCAGGGCCAGCTTAAGTCAGCCCGAACCTTTTGGGTTTTAGTACCTGGAGCCACTCCATTAAAAAAAAACACCCGAAAGTATTGATAGCAGTGGCTGCTCATTGTGTAGACCAACAGCCTGGATTTTGGAAACTCTCTTGGCATCATTGTGATCATCATGTATAATGGAACTTTGTGGCATCCACAACTGCCCATTTTTCTAGGTATTACAACTTTCTGTCTGATATTATTTAATTTCTTTGAATATTGGTACGGATGGTTTTTGCATCATTTCATTTAAAACTTATTTTTTTTATATTTTTTAAATCTTCTTCAGCTTTCATTAAAAAGAATACCTTGTGATCCGCTGTGAAGGTCCTTTTCTAGACACTTATTATGGTGGGACAATGCTCTGTCCCGTCTAGCAGTTGAGATCTTATTATTATTGGTATTTATATAGTGCTGACAATTTACGCAGTGCTTTACACAGTGCACATTTAAATCAGTCCCTGCCCTCAAGGAGCTTACATACAGGGCCAATTTAGACAGGAGCCAATTAACCTGCCAGCATGTCACATGGAGAACATGCAAACTCCTTGTAGACAGTGACCTGGCTGGGATTTGAACCAGGGACCCCCTGTGCTGTAAGAAACGCTAACCACTACGCCATTGTGCTGCCCGCATTGTCACCCATGTGATGTACTCTCCCAGTGGGGACTACAAGCAATCATGCCAATGCACAATGCGCAGACCTTTTCCACAATTGGTAATCCCATTCTAAGGCCGGGTTCACACCTGGGCGTTTTTCAGCGCTGATCGAAGCGCTGAAAAACGCTCAGCAAGTGAAATCCCATAATTTCCTATGGGCATGGAAAGCGCGCTGAAAAGCGCCCTACGCCCAAACAAGTACAGGAGCTTCTTTGGGACGTATTTCCGCGCGTATCCATTGGTATTCCCGAGTGCGGCTCGAGGCTAACAAAGTGGTAAACCCCGAGCCACACTCGGGAATACAGCGTAGGTCTTACCTTGTCCGTGATCCCCGCTGTGTCTCCTGGCCCTTGCGAGTGTCCGTGTCGCAGGGGGGCGGAAGCGGCGGGAAGTTTGAAAGAAAAATAAAAACCAGAAAAAAAGATAGATAAAATAAAGGAAGAAAAAAAATCATACCGCCAGGGAGGTATACAAACGAGCGTCGAACGCGCGTTTCACTGAACTAAAAAACAAGCTGAAAAAATGCGCCTATAGTACGCCCAGGTGTGAACCCAGCCTTACAAATGATGTGCAGAAGTTGCTGGAGTACATGCATGTAGACAGGAAGTGGCTTTGAAGAGGCAGCAGAAGATTAACAGCACTGTGATGCAACAAAGGATAAAAAAAGTTGAAGCTGTATTTCATGAAAATAAACTGACAACTCTTTATAATACCCCAATGCTCCCTATTGGACAGTATTGTTAGTACTTTATAGAGAAAGGTTATAGCCAGGTTTCCTGTTGTCCTCCCTGTCTCTGAAGTCTTGTGAAACTATAAAAAAGATAAATCAGTTATGGGCCGTAGCGAGATTACTGGCATCACAGGTCACATAACCAGCTTACCAGGAAACCTATATTAATAGTTTGGTATTCTGGCAGCCATGTGAAATGCTCAGCGCTTTTACATCATTATTTTCAGGTTAAATGTTTTTACACTATGTTGTATGGCTGTGTAAGTAATGTAAATTATACTATCATGGTCAGCTTAAAGGAGAACTATGGGGTTAGGGCTTTTCCCCATAGTTCTCCTAAGGGTAACGGGAGGACACAAACTAGCGTCCTCCCATCACCCAAAGCTCAGTATATACTGAGACGCTGCAGCCGGTACAGATCCCTACAATACTGTCTGGATCCACCCAGCTGCGTGAGTGACAGCATATGTACGTTAGATGCTACAATCAGTGTACAGTACAGCAACTTGTCAGTGTTCTTATTTCTATAAATGACCCTTCTGTCAAACTATTTCTATACACCTTTTACGAGTTGTTTCTTATAGGCCATCCTATTAGATTTGTACCGTTGATGTAACACTTGTCTTGTGCCTTTTTGTTTTGCAGTCTATCATATTCGAAGAGGTTGACATAACAGACGCCAGTGTTGCTGAGTCAAGCACCAAGAACCTAAACAACAGTTTCACCGTATGTATCAAGCTTTATATAGAACTCCACATGTGGTACCTGTGTGATAAGTGAGCAGATGCTTGTCACTGACCACCAATTCACTCTGCATGGTGTTTGCTCCCACTAACTGCATTTAAAATGTAATATTCTTTCATTAATTCTTACCGCTGTCAATGTGATGTTCAAATGTTTCAGTACACAAGCATCTGTAGGGTGTTTTCACATTACAGACAACAAAATAGAAAACTAAAAGAAAATGTGTTCTGTTGTTGTGGTTTTCTGCCACTTGTCTTTCCCCGTCTCTGAATGGGGAGGGGTCCCTTTAAGATTTGTCCCTTTAAAAATGTGCACAGACGCAATCAAAACCAAAAGCCTGTAATGTATATAATATGATACAATGTGATGCAATTTAATACAAAATGTATATGATACAATGTATAAAGATATACTGTGCAACATAAAAAATTGCAACTAGCATTTTATTTATTCTACGGGGCCCGTGTTTTCAGAAAATATATAATTGTTTGGGGGTCTGAAGCTGTTTTCTAGCCAAAAATTCAGATTTGACCATGTGTGTGCAAAAAGCAAGAAATTGCTCCAGACGGTAACTGGTTAAAGTTTAGAAGTGTCCATTGTGCTTGAGCTGTATCTTGAAAATGTAATTTTTTTCTGAAATTCTTCCTACAAAATATCAGTGCACTTCCTGGTGTGTGAGTGTGCCTAGACTCTGCTGTGTATACAGCCTCATAGCTGTATATCTGCAGTGTGAGACCTAAGGCAATGCTGCCTGGAGATTTGGAGTGATATTTAGAAATTCCTTTGCTCCTAGACTCCATCTATTGTCAGGAATGCCATGTGAATGGCATACCAGCATACATTTGGAGGGGCGGGACCAGTTTCCCCCAATGGAGATTGGGGGACACTGGTTCTGCCCCTCCAAATATTGCTTGTTTACAAACCTGATGCATGATGAAGCAGAGGCAGTATTATACAGTGGGCTGGCTTAATGCCTATTCTGCTTGTGTCCAAACCTACTGAAGGCAGCAGTAAAACCCAGTTGTATATGATTTTCTACTGTTCCTGTGTCCCTCAATGGACTCCAAGGAAAGTTCGAGGCATAGTTTTAGACTGAAGGAGACATAGGAGGCGACAGATTATACTATAAAAATAGCAAGTTAGCTGCATGTTTCTCTCCTGCACACCTTCTGTTTAAATATATTTAGTAAATTACCTGGATTTTACATAATAATGAATGCCATCAAAGTTACATGGCAGTCGGCACTGAAAAATGAAGCCTTGAGAGCTTCATGAAGGAGGGTATATGTCACCACAATATTGACACATTTCTGGCATGTCAACTAGCCCAGAAGACATTTTTGACTGGCACAGTGATGGTGTTTATGTAATGCTTTCTTCTTAGCATGAAGGAACTGGTGTGACTAGATCTGTGTACTCTACTAGTGCTGTTGTCACATGACATGGTTATATAAATACATGAAATAAGAAAGAAATGCCTTCTTTTTGCATGACCCACCTCCAACATACATGAAAGCGTTTGTATTATTACAGAAAGTTGTACTGAAAAAGTGAGGATTGCATTTAACATGCAGAAGAAGAGACTTCAACACATGTTGAAGGAAGGTGAACACTGCTCCTGAACCTGTTTATGTGTTCACATGTGTACAGTGGTCCAACTTTTAATACAGATACTCATGGCATGTTTCTTGATTGTTCGAAATATTTTTGTGTGGTTATTTGTTTCTGTAAACCCACTGCAGTTTTCTTTAGAATACTTTCTGAGGTAATTGTATAGATTTATTTAGCTTGGTTTCCTCGCGTTGTGATGATGTTCTATAACAAAAGTTAAGCTAAGTTATTTTTAGCCTCTGTGGTTTTTGTCGGCTGAACCGTGGCAGAAGTCTTCTCAACGAAGGAGTGGTTTTATTACTGTGGTTTGTTTTTCAGTCCACACCTTCTAGAAGAATTGGCATATATGGTTGACAGAGCAGTGCTTGATAGGTCAGGAAGTGGGTTAATAGCACGACCTTCACATGTAGAGCAGACATTCTCTGCATGCCTGTGACTATAAAAGTTGTTCTTGCTGCAGAGCTGTGACACATAGCCTTTAATTACACTTAACTGATAATCATCTTTATAATGAATGAGATTGATTGTTACAGAGTCATAGAGGTGGGAATGTCAACTTGGCAGATTTTTTTGTAGGTCTGCCATTAGGGCTCTTTTTGAATGCTTGCTTTTATGTTTCATCTGTATTGTAATAAGCAATTAGAACCTGTTCCAAGACCAAGGTTTAACAAATATAAAATGTATGTTTGGGCTAACTTAGGAATCAGCAGTTAGCTGTAAAGAAGACCGGTTTAAACTTAAAGGTACAATATAGTTTTAGATTGAGGAGCTGCTGAAATGACTAAGTGCCAATTTACATCTTTTTACTTGAAATGGGAAAGAAGCTAATACACAGTCCTGGGCCTGGCAATATAAAAAAAATGTTGTCTACTTCCAGCCCGTTCTGTTACCACTTACTGTTACTTTGCTGCTCACTGTTGTCCTTGCTGGAGGCTCTAACAGCAGGAAGCAAAGGCCCTGCCACCACCACGATGGCGCCTCCATGCTGAGTGCAAAACAAGGCATAGTAAGTGAGTAACGGGGAAAGATCAGCAGCAGGGAGATCACTGGCAATACTGGTGACTAGTCCTTTGTTTAATGCCTGCCTTTTTTGAGCACTGCTTTAAGAATCCATGCCCTCTTTAAGGGTTCAAATACACATGCTTTTGTGTTTTACCTCTGCCATGCATTTGGAAAGAATTTCTCATGAACTGGAATACAGCATTTCGATCTTGAATTGGAATCTGCGGAGTACTGCACACTTGGATTTGTTGCTGCATTTGCCATTCATTTCCTTACTTTGCTTTTGTCCCACAATTCAATCAAAAATAAAGTATGGTAAGCGTCTCTTGAAGGCCCAACCTTCGGCTGACTTATCTTCTTCAGACTCCTCTGCCACTCCCTCTTCTGCCCTTGTAAAATACCTAGAGTCCTTCAAAGTATGGGGATGCATAGAGACTCTTCCCAGGATGCAGTTCTCAACCTGAGCTGCTAATCTCCGGGCCCTATCATCACGTGAGGAGGACCTCACTGAATAAGCTCCTTCCGCATCTGACACAGAACTTAAACTGGTTTGTGGGTTTGACTTCTGGCTCCAATGGAGGAATGTAGTGGCAGGGTGCATGGTGTCAGGGGGTTGGCTTTTAATATACTCTGACACGTTGCCCTGTTTAAATCTGCCAACAACTATGTAGCACAAGGGACTGTTTATCAATAGGGTCCATTTACAAAGCAACGGTATGGCCAGCCTAAACCTGCTAAAATTCTAAGTGCAAAAAGGATCTGTATAAATAATAGACACAGTTGTATTTTGTCCTCTTTCATTATACAGTATGCTTAGAAAACAATTATGATTTCTTCTTTTTGTACTGCTTTGTAGTGTTTCCATGTATGGTTCCATGTATCCATACTGGTTAACGATACTTCCTGTGCAGGAGGTGTGGAAAGATGCTCCACGCATTTCTGTCTGCTATACACTTGATTTATATTTTCTCAAGCCACCGACGTTTAGAATTTAATCAAACTATTTTTGTAACGTGTAACAGGAAATAGTGGTAAATGTGAAACTTTCATTCAGCTGCCTGTGTTGATATTTCAAGCTTTGAGAACATATGAAATTAATTTTAGCCCAGAGCTGGACAAATCCAAGAAAATGGATGTCTTATTTAGAGAAAAACTCCAGGTTTTTTTTTTAAACCGCTGCCTGTGATACATCAATCATGCCTGGTGGCGACAAAATTGGATCTCTAATATAGAGCTTGTCTGCCGGTGCCACCAAAAACCGGTTGCAACAGAGATCCGAGAGCGTAAATGTATTGGACATACCTTACGAAAGGGCAAAAATTAGATCTGTAGATAGGCACTCGATTGGAATCCCCAATGACAGCATAGGAGAGGCAGACCCAAGGCTCCTGGTGGTGAAGCCTATATGATGATAGCAAGGCTGTATCACGTGATCCTGACTTTGCTGAAGGTCAAATCAAAAGCTGGGAAACATCAACAGTAAATTTTGAGAAGCTGCATCATCTATTGTATTCCACTAAATGGGACAAATTGTTTCTATCAATGAACACTGATGAGAAGTGGGATGGTTTTAAAAATACATTGCACAATGCCAATAGCAAGTGCGTACCATTGGGCAACAAAAATAAAAGATCGAGAGCAAAACCTGCATGGCTAAATGAAACGGCGAAACAACATATCAATGAGGAAGCTGGCATTTAGAAAATATAAGATGGAGTGGACTGCAATGGCATTTCAGAACTACGAGGAATGCAATAAGAGATATAAAAGTGCACTCCGGGCAGCTAAAATAGATTACGAAAAAACATATCGCCACAGTCCGGAAAAGATGAACTCAAAAACATTCTTCCAATATATAAACAGTAAAAAGGTAACAAAGAAGCAGGTAGGCCCGATAATTGATGAGCAGAGAAGATTTATCACAAATGACAGGAAGAAGACTGAGGTATTAAATTCATTTTTCTCCTCCGTATACACTCAAGAAAAGGCGTGTTTATTGGATATAATAAAAATGTGAGTAGCTATCTCCTCCACCTGGCACCACTCTCACGTAAAACGTATAAACGCTTGCTGTTGATACACCTATTGAACGCGGCTAGTGCATGCATTCCGGTGTTATGGAGACAATCCAGAACTCCCTCGGTGGAGATGTGGGTGCGGAGAGTGGAGGAGATCAGACTGATGGAGGATCTTACAGCCTCGATGCGCAAAACCCAGCATAAGTTCGCTTGCTCCTGGGCGGCCTGGTATCAGTTCCGGGAGTCGGTGGATTTCCCTCGAGCCGACCTGGAGTAGCACTTCGGCAGCGGGAACACCTTTCATAATAACACATTCGTCCGGTGTGATGCACGCTGAGTGTAGTGCGGCGT